CCCCCCCGAAGAAAAAATAAAGGTTAATAAACTTTATCTCTACTTTTTCATTACTTTTTTCCATACTTAAAGATGATAAACTTTTAGGAGCTTGTTATTCATGTTCAAGAATAAATTCTTTGATTTCTGATGTAGGAGTAGCAGATTATAGTTGAATCACAAACAACTCAAAGGAAACTTTAAATTAAAAAAAAAACTACTGAATATTCCATTCCATTCTATATTCATTCATAAGCTCTAATTCACTCACATTTATCCTCTTCAAAGAACGCCTTCCTGCAGCCAATCCAAAAAGAAAAGACAGACAAATTAATAGTTTCATGCAACTGCTAATCTGCCTGGTGATTGGCAAACATTATTGTGTTGATAATGTTGACAACCCATTGTTAGCTAAATTTCTAGTGCACTACCTTTCATTAAACATCAGTAATGTTCCAGTGTTCATGCCTACAAAAGAATTCTCTAAGTTCCTATGATAATATATTGCATAACTGCTATATTGATTGACTTATTTTGTTCAATTTACTATTGTTACACTTTTTATTCCTGATAAACAATTACTTATAAAGTAGTACTATTTATCAGTACAGGTTTTTTAAGACATTCTTTTGTCTGAATTGATTTATACTTACTACCTTGCACTTTTATTTCCCTTGTATTGGTATAACTGACTAAGATTATGCAATATGTTTTTCAACATAAATTGTGGTTCACTGATAAAAAATTTTGGTTGACGAAAAAAGGTATCATTATAGATCTTACATCTGATTTGTTCGCAGAGTGTTATAACTCCGTAAAATGCCTGTATGTACGTTTTCTCATGCTATGTACATACGTGTTTGAAGGTCGCTAGCTTGTGTTTGACAGGTAATGCAAAGAACAACTGCTATTTTTTTAAGCTACCAGATACGTTGCTACTTGTCGTTACTGACGTCCTTTTGTTTCTAATATTGCAGAAGATATGGACAATGCAGGTCACTTTGTGTGACTTACTGGCATGTACATTTATATTTTTGTTAGCCGGTAAACATATTGGTCCTGTAACTAATGTAAATAGTGGGTTGAAAGACTAGCACTAAATATGACCTCTTTTTTTGGCTTGAATTTGTTTTCTTCGCTCTACTATATATCCAAGTTTTTAAGACTAAATCGAAAGAAACATACTGCTATCCAAAGGATCATTTAAAGTGACCACGACGCACTTCGTCGCAGAGACCATAATGTTTAACAAATCAACTCACATATCTCAGTACATAATTTATCATAATGCAAGTTGCTCCCTATAAAAGGTTATTTATTTTCTTTATAAATTAATAAAAGCTGCTATTTTTATCAAGTTTGGGCACGGGCTCAGCACGGGCCGTTCCTAATAGTTCATTAATAAACGACAATTATAAAAGCCCACGAGGGGGTCCTTACACATGATTACAAAAGTCCACGAAGGGTCCTTACACAAAAACAGAGAAGCCAAAGAAAAAGGAAAAATGCATATAATAGCTACGAGCCTAATCCGTTTTTCGGGGTACATCCTCAAGGGTAGTGTCTTCAAGAACCGTTCCTCGGGCCCTCCTCTCGATCTTTCAAACGGTATCTTCAAGATAAATAAGAAGCAAAAAACGATGACGAAGAAGAAGAAAAAGATGAAGAAGTGGCTAGGTGAAAAATCTGGCAAGTATGGGTCCCGCCAGCACTACTATTGAGAAGTCACTTCTCGAGACATTGCACCGGTGCGGGATGCAACAGTTAGTAGATGGCACCACTTCACTCCACGGAAAGCAAAAGGAACGAGGCGCCACACTAGGCAATTAGGAAGGATAAGTAGAAGTCTGTGGTGCATATATCCTTTAATGCGAGGGTAATTTGAGATTTCTCTCTCATTACCTCGGGCCAATAACAACAACAATAACAACAAACCAGTACAATTCCGCTTGGGAAGGGAAAGCTCTGGAAAGAGGTCATGGCGCAACTGATGAGGACGCTGCCATGTAACCTTAAGGCCACGGGCCTCAAAATGGGAAATAACAATAGATGAAGATAAAGAGAAGGAAGGGGTAAAGGGCTGTCGAAAAACATTTGAATGAAGTTTGATTTAAGAAGGCTTCCATTTATAGGAAGGGTGGGAGCATAACCGATGGCACAATCAATGTCTTTGAAAGACGTAACGGCAGGCGCAATCAATGCATTTTTGGGAACTAGACCGGCGGCGATATTATCACTTTGGAGAATATAAATTGGTGGTACATCGAACGATTATGGAAAGGTGAGTCGACGAGATGCCTCAGTTATCACAAAGGCTTACGTTATGAGTATGACATCATCGCAGTAAGGTCGAGGAGATAGATATCGAAGTCGTTTCTTATCGTTTCACTCCAAGAAACGCGGGGACTATCTATATACGGTAAAATCGGAGGGTCCAATTTTCGGTCACTACGGTGCTTCATAAGCACGTTTCTATAGGCTCGAGATTAACACCCGAAGGGCTGTCAACGCCCGACCCCAGGGTAATTCAGATTGATGGTTATGGCAAAAAAGTGGGAAGTTCCAAAAGCGCGTAGCTAGAATTGGCAAAGCCTAGTGAGCTAGTTCAGACCCGGATCAAGGCATTAAATGGTTATACCATCCCCATATCTTTTCAATAAATGCATTTGTACTATGTTGAGATTCCTTGTTATTTTGTAAACATCTGATACTCAATATTAAATATACAAGAACATTATCTCTACTCTCTAACATATTCTCTTGATCTCATTACTTCCATTTATTGCTTATATTCATTGTGTTCTATTTATTGTTCATCATTTATTGCTTATCATTGTTCATAAAGAGCCATCATCGTAGCTCTCATAACTGTTAGTCCTCCTTCATCGCTCTAAACCGGCCATCCAACTCGACCTCGAGGCCTCATATACGACAGCTCGAGGCCCCGATCCCCAGCCGTTTGGTTCGATTATCACATCGTTTCTAAGCTATAATCTTGCTTTCTAATCTTTTACTTAGCATCCATTGTCTAACAACTAGCATAAAAATAGATCACGTATTTTTAGAACCACAAAATAAAATTTAATTGTTATTACAATTTTTACAGTAAACAGAAATGGCGGATGACCATTAGGCTTATCTGACTAGCTAGTCTTGTTCTTTGCCTTTTTTTTTATCCACCGACTTATTAGAACCCGTCATTAGGGGTAGATCCAGTGAATTAGTTATGGGTTCCCGTGAACCCAATAATTTTTTTCAGGATTCGGTATTTGTATTGAAAAATTCATCAAGTACAAAAGAATATTTGGCTTGGAGCCCAATACGTTAATCCAGTTATTATTATATATTAATTTAGTAAAAATAGCACGGTATAGCCAGTTTTCGGACTGGTCATTCAAAAATAGCTAGCATTTACCAAGTCAATGAAAAATAGCCACTATTTTGCTGCAACAAAGACCGGTCCAGCATAATATACTGGAGTTCAGGGCACCTGTGTGTGAACTCCAGCATATTATGCTGGACCGGTATACTTTGCTAGCTCCAGTATAATATACTGGAGACTGGAGCACCGGTGCTCCAAACTCCAGCATATTATGCTGGACCGGTATACTTGCTGGAACTCCAGTATATTACACTGGAGTTCTAGTGTACTTATGCTGGAACTCCATCATATTATGGTGGAGTTCCAGCATACTTATCCTGGAACTCCAGTATATTACACTGGAGTTCTAGTGTACTTATGCTGGAACTCCATCATATTATGGTGGAGTTCCAGCATACTTATCCTGGAACTCCAGTATAATATGCTGGAGTTCAAATATAATATGCTGGAACTCCAGCATAATATACTGGCGTATTTTTCGAGTTTTGAATAGTGTTTTCGCTCAGATTTATCTTTACATGAAAAGTGGCTAAATTTCGATTACTTTTGAAACTGAGCTATTTTTGAACAACCAATTGTAAATCTGGCTATTTTTGAATTTCTTCCATTAATTTAAGATTTCTGTAGGAGCCCACAAGCTTAAAATTTTGGATCCGCCTCTGCCCGCAACGGTAAACCTTTGAATTGCTACCAACCAAATCAGAGGGAAAACGACAGAATCATCTCTTTGTTCAATTTGTATATGCAAGATTTATTTAATTCGCTGTGGTTTACTTTAGATTCTTAAAAGCACATATTTCAAATATCATTACTTTTTATTGTTCTTTGCTGTTATAAACCTCAATTGCTTAGCAACAAACCCGTCTCTTCATAATTATTTTGGTTTTTATCATATTTTTTATCCATTGCTCTTTTTTTTTTTTTTAAAAATAAAATAAATTCCAACCCATGTTCAATAACCACAATATTGGAGCTTCGATTAATCCAGGTTTGCGTCGTATAAGACTCATTAAAAGAAAAATACTCCCCACCAGAATTTTTTTTCATTTCCAAGCACGAAATCGAAGCTTGGAACTTCTAGTTAAGTATTTAGGGATATTATCTACCCACTACAACTGTTGTGAGTCTCTATTGTTTTTCATTCTCAGCTTAATAAAAACGTATGGTCGCTTATTACCTTTTTCCATGATTAAATATTGGAAGAGCTATTCCCTTTTTTTTTTTTTTTAAAAAATGCTACATGATCCCAGGAGGCAAAATAAAGTAATAGGACAACTAACAATGTTTTAAAAGGAAAAAAAGAAAAGGAACACCACAGTACAAGCTAGTACATATATTTGTTACTATATCTCATTTACTACTATAGGTATGCTCTGGCATTGAGGCGAACATAGGAGGGATGCCCTGTTGATGTCGAAAAACGTTTAGTGGGTCAATTTTTGTCTTAGCTTTGACCAATCTATCATAGTTATTCAAGAAATACTTTTCACCCCAGACCCTTGCTCTCTCCACGGCATGATCAGCAGAGGCAGTAATACTAGTATTTAGCATTAAGTAGTCGTCCATCACTCCAAGGTCCAGATCCATATAGTTGACATAAGCTGCCCTAGGTGAACTAGAAACATGGGGTGCCATTGTATTGTAAAACTCTCTTATCCACTCTATGTACCCATTGCTCTTGGCAATATTATTATTGTCCTTTTCTTTCCACACTACTAGATATTGAATTCTGAATAGGTTACCCTTTCTATGAGGGAAAGCAATAGCTTCCTCGCTAATTCTCTGCATGGCTGCACCATAAGGGTCAAAGATGACATGTCCATTTGGTTCTTTCTCAAGAACATCAAGAGCTGTCATAATCCCTCCCACTGAAATTGGGGTCTTCACATGGTCTGATTTGGCTTTGAAGTATGATTTGTTTTCAAAGTAACGCTCTTTCAAACGAGAGACATCGGAGGTGTTCGCAACGTTATCTAATTCGGAGAAGAAAAGTGTTGATTCAATCCAACTCATTTCTTTGCAGTCACTTTCCACAACTCCCAACTCCGGAAAGGCCTCATTCAAGATGGAAATGGCTTCGGTTTTTGTACCTAGGTAAAATCCGCTGAATTGGGCATTTATTTCAATAGGAATGTTTCCTTTACTAGCAGAGCTCATGGAGATCGATAGATAAAAGTCATCGTCTAACTTTGGTGCAACAAGTTGCCATTTGTGAACTAGTTGGGACACATATCGTTTGGAGCCAGGCCTAGGGACTATGAAACTAGTCACAGTCTTGGGCACTTTGAGCAATCGGATTTTCCAGGCGTAAATGATTCCCCAAATTCCTCCACCACCACCTCTGATGGCCCAAAACACTTCTTCTCCCATGGCTTTGCGGTCTAATAGCCGTCCTTCCGCATCAACAAGAAGAGCATCCACCACGTTATCAGCAGCAAGTCCATATTTTCTTGATAAAAATCCAAAGCCACCCCCGGAAATGTGGCCCCCAACCCCAACTGTTGGGCAAGAACCAGCTGAAAATCCATGAACGTCACTGGCCCGGGAAATGGCATAATAAGTCTGGCCAAGTGTAGCGCCACCTTGTACCCACGCGGTTTCGGAATCCAAATCTACCGAAACATCATCTAATTTCATCAAATCAATGACCACAAATGGGGAACCATCAAAGGAAACGTAAGAAGTCCCTTCATAACTGTGTCCTCCGCACCTTACTCTGATTTCATAAGAACCTTGTCTGCAACACAGAACGCTGCTCACCAGCTGCTCCTTGCTCTCTGGTACGATAATGACCGTTGGTTTTGGTTTAGAGGACGCTGCGAATCGGAGATTCTGAATGGAGAAATCAAGCAAGTTATAGTACCTATTACCAGCATGATTCCTTGTTGGATAAACAGAGAAGTTACTGACTTTGTAATTGATCAAACAGGTGGAAATGGTATTGAGATTTGTAGCAGAGACGGAAGGTACAAGAAGAGAAGTAAATAAGAAGCTGATCATCATCAGAATTATGAGCAAACGCTGAAGAGACATGGATATATTTCGTTTCATTGCAGCTTTCGTTTACTTCCAACTTCTTGTTTGACCTCTCCGGATTCCATTGGAGGTACAGATAAGCTTTATACAAGGAAGAGTGCATAGTAGAGGTCAGCAGTTTGAGGACAAAAAGATGAAGGAAACAAGGAAATGAAACAGAATAAAAGGTGCCGGCCTAAGCCTAATCCTTTCTTAACACTTATTATATCTGCATGAAAAAGTATGGAGTGATAGACGCCTACCGTAACGTGACAAAATAGCAGGAGAATCAGGGTAAAATAGGAACAGTGCCGGCCAATTTCAGCATACAACAATTTTAGCAGATTCAAGCGCTCCATGAGAACTGCTATTTTACTTTGTTCATGAAGTAAATCTAAACTGAAGTCAGTCTCCTTTACTCTGCCTCAGTTGTTAATTTGTTCACTTGTCAAAGCAATCAGTGTGCATTATACTCTACAACACATAATAGTACTTCAAAATTTAAGGGACGTGGTTTGATATTTTTTATACACTTAAAAGGCTACTTAGTTTAAGATTTTGTGCTTTTATTAATTTGACCATTACAATACTAGGTTTCAGCCTCATGTCCGAGGTAACTTTCAAATGTTGAATTTGGTTTTCATTAATATTGATGGTAATGACCATATATGTTTAATTTGGAGCACTTAAAATGTGAAAAGTTATGGCCGAACTCGACCTGTTTGTTATGGTCTCACCCATCACTACCAATGGCAGCACACCTTGTCAACAGAAGTAAATTGACTTTTGGCCATTAAACAATCTCAATTCACAATTTTTGTGCACTGATCCTTAGCTTGTTCCTTGTGTATATATAGCCTGTTCCTTGTGTATATATTAGGGGTATTATCATCCTCTCTACCCTTCTAGGGGCAGGAGCAAGACTGCGTACATCTTACCCTCCTCAGACCCCACTTATGAAAAACTATTGGATTTGTTGTTGTTGTATTCAGTAGAAACTTATGCGTACATATTACCATTTTGTTAGATTAAGTTAAGCCAATATAATTGCTTATTTACAGATAACTACTGGTATTGCTGCAGCAATTTTTATTAGTGAAGCTGCTTCTTCTTCTTGTCACGACTCATTTAAGTGCCTCTCAAAAGGCTTTACTAAATTATGAGAACATTAAAGGAAAGGACATCTCGACACCAATAACATCAAACATGAAATATCAAAAACATAATGCTTATTTATATCCACTTAGACAAAGCATCTAAACCTTCGGCTAGAAACTAGCTAATTTTTTTTTTTTTTTGATTTGT